TACATCGAATGCAACAGCCCGATACTTCAACGATGGGGTGACCGATGAAGGATCTTAATGATATCCAAATGGATGGGTCCTTATTAAAGGCTTCTCGCGGATGCGTTTGTTTTATACGACTCCTATTGACTTGATCTTCTTAGTCAAACATTGAAACACTTGCATGTTGCTTATGTGTCTGGCATACTTATCCGAAATTAGGGCTTCGCTTTACTGGGAAAATGAGTGCAAGACAATTGTGATAAACAGTTTGTTTCATACTAAATCGTGATAGCAATCTATCAAAACGAGCTCGTAAACAAATAGGGCTCTTGAAGTGGTCATAGTTGCGGGTAACCGTGTGCCGACAATCGTCAGACGACAGGGTTGGTTGAAAGCTGTAATGATGGTAGGCGATCCGATCCAGGCTAGACCTGCAAGAGAAGGGCAACGCCTCCGAGCACCCATCGAGCAGGTCGCTCTTTCGACTTCAGATTGAAGGTCCACACAAACGTGGGGCCTCGAGTCTTCGTCTTGTACACCGGGCAGGGATAGACGCCGCGTAGGTCTTGTCGGTCCACAGGAATTGCGCGCAGAAACACAACCGGCATGGCTGGAGCCAACTCCTTGAGACGGGCTTCAGCGATCAAGTTCGTCTGAACATCCCATCTGGCGCCCTCCATGAAGAGTCCATGAGTGTAGGCGCCGTCTCGTGGAGGTGCTGTCATGTCTTCTCGTGCCTTTTTGGTGACATCACATTGCAGCACCATTCGATCGAGAGGCCATTCATTTTTACGAGCCATCTGTTGCATGATGGCCGTCAAAAAGGACTGTGGATTGAATAGACCACCGAGCCACACGGTGTTGGGCAACTGGAAATCCGTGGTCCATAACTCCAACTCTTTGACACGACCTAAAAGGTCGGCATACCAAAGGCCCAGAGGGTAGAGGCTGGGATAAGCTCGTTTGGTCCAAGAGTCGGGCACGGAGTCGAGAAAGAGGGCGCCCGACAACGCTTCCATTTCGGGCGTGAAGGTCAGCTCTCCTTTCAGCCCAAGACTCAGCTCTTTGAGGCTACGACGCATCCCCCCCAGCAACAGGTTCATACGTTCACACTCTTGAAAAGCGACCACCACGTACGGCGTCCGCTCTTCCGGCGGTACTTTGGCCTGCAGTTCACTGAGACTGAAGGCCTCCGGCAGACGATCATTGATCTCGTCCAGAATGGATTGAATCTTCTCCTCACGACTGACACCGCCGGCTCCGGCGCCTTCGGCGTCACGAGGCTGCATCTCAAAGACGGTACGGAACAATTTTTCCGAAGTGTTTGTGAGAAACTCCATCTCGGCGTTAGGATGCAGGCCATAAAGGTAAGGCGACTCAGGCGGCAAACACTCGTCGATGTAGGTATGATAGCCTTTGAAGTCGGTGTTGGGTGGAGACGCGAATCCCGGGGCTAGAAAGTGGTCACCGTCCAGCATTTCTGGGGCCAGATACTCTTCCAAGTAGGTCTTGCACAGTCGTCTGTCCCAGTCATCGGTGATATGGCCTCCGTACATAATTTCCCCGAAAAGGTAGCGCAAATCCTCCCAAGGCACTTTGCTGTTCGCCTCCAAGTAGTTGAAGAGTACATTCATGCTGATGGTCAGGTCGCCAGTGTTGAAGGGATACGATCGGTTCCAGCCTTGTGGGCCGAATTTGCGACGCTCACAGACCACTGCATGAAAGTAGCAGAGAGCGAATAGGATCGTCTTGAACTCGCCCTCTTTGCTGCACATTTCCAGAGTGTCTTGAGTGAAGTTGTTCAACGCCTTGTGCAAGTTGGCAAACATACCGGTGGGCGGCTCATTGGTGACTTTGATGGCGTTCTCAAGAATCCCCTGTGGGATGATGTGGCTCTCTGGAGATCCGGCGGGTTCAGCGCTGATAAAGAGACGATAATTGGGATGTCCCATCTCTGAGTACTCCTCGATGCGTTTCTCCAAGCTGGCCAGCCACTTGGCGACAAGGTGAACATTTTGCAGAACGACCCAATGACCCTGTTGAGCGGCTAACTGCATAGCGGTCTCGGCGACGACCTCTTGACCCTGACCAAGTGAGATGTTGTGAAAGTTTTTTTGGTCACCGGAGAAGCCAAGCTTCTTGCCCAACGCCTCAACGTCCTTGAGCGGATCGACTCCGGGCGAAAGAATAAAGAAGATGGGCGTCGCAGGGCCAGACTCTTCATAGGAGGCTGAGAAGGGCAGCTGACCGCCTTCAACGTATTTGTGGCCCAATTTTTCGCCAACGAAATCAGTTACAGCGTAGGTCATTCGATCCGGTCGCAGGGCTCGTAACATGCAAAGATGCTGCAATTGCGACTTGTTCTTCCATTCTTGTGGAAATTTATCCTTCTCAGGGCATTCACCCTCAACAAACTTTTTCCAACGCTTCGCAGAGCCTTCAATGTCTCGGTCAAGATTGCGAAACTCTTCCATTCCGGCCAGCGCTTTGATGCCGCCCCAGCCTGTGTTGGTGAGGAAATCGACCGGACTGATGCAATTCGGCACAATCGGGTACCGCAGCAGAAAGTCCAGCTCTTTGGGGTCTATCTCATGATTCATCATCAACACCTGGAAGGCCATTTGAGCCGTGAAAATTAGCTTATCCCTTTCGAAGAGGCCTCTCGATGTGTAAACGTACACTGAATAGGTGATTGAGTCGATCAGATTTTTCACACGTTCACGCACCTCTTCATTCTGCTCTGCACGGTCAATGGCCACCTCAAATACGACTCGAAAAGCTTTCAACGAAAATTGGTACATTGGACTGATTTTGTTGAGGTCGTTGAGAATGAAGTAGAGCAACGAGGCCCTGGCTGCAGCTGGACGGTAGAATTCACGAGTTTCATTGATCTTCACTTCAGTCACTTTGGCCTGTTCCACCTTCTCCTCAATCTCAAGGGCCGTTCGTTTATTTGTCTCCAGATTCTCCACGAGTGCATAGTCACCCAGAAAGTTGCCTTCGGCCGCCGATAAACGGGCCAGAAGAGAGTCTTCTAGATCCTTCAGGGTAATTTTGAACTCGTTCTGCTGTCTTGTCAAGTCGGCCTTCAACTGTTCTAAATCGGGTCGTTCTTTGCTAACTACACTCGCCAAAAGTTGATCCTCAAGACCGTCTCGCGTCACTGTGAAATTGATCAGCGTCGCCTGTGCCTGCATCTCCGGTTTGTAGTGAGGATTGGCCAGTTTCGTTTGTAAGATGAGCCGAAAGTTGGGGTTGTACTCAACCTCTTTGTCGCCGAGTCGAATGGCCCTGCCTTTTTTGATAGTATTCCTGCCCAACAGAGGATCCAGTACAGGATCTATGCTCTCCTCAATGTTCTCGAGGAGGACAACTTCGCCTGAGGCGACTGCAGTCTCGATGGCATCAAGATAGCCTTTCTGGCCCAATCGAACGACTCGAAGTCTGGCGCCATAACGAGTCTTGATCCATTTGATGCCCTGCAGTTGAGGGTCGATCATGAGAGGCCATCTCTCGGTGCTGGTGAGAATGGTGGCGTTCTCCACAGACATCCGATCGGATGGTAGACCTTCGTTGCTCCAAGTTGCCACGATTGCGTCGTCTATTAGCAACGTCAATGGATCCATGCCCTCGGTGACTGGAATGGGCACATGAAGATTGGTCAGATATGGAAGCCATTGTTGTGCCATCAGTTCATTGCGATACTTTTTAGTGAAACAGCCAACGTAAGAAAGAAAGGCTGTCGTCTGTAGAACATCACCGGGCAAAGTGAGCTCTTGCTTTCGGTACTCTTCAACTTGATTTGCCCAACGTACATTCTCAGAGGCGAGACCGCCAACCAGCCGATTGGCCAATTCAATTGTTTTGTACGTCAACTCAGCTTCGTCTTGACATCGCTTCTTGTCAGTTGAAGCCTGCTCAAATTCATCCGTCAAGTCCTTCAACATCGCCTCCAATTCACGAATGCGACGCTGGATCGCCTCCAACTTTTCCGTGGCCATACGCAGTTCTTCGTTGGCTTCGTTCAGAGCATCTCGTTTCGGCTTAACTTCACAATATATCTTGTAGAAGTTGACAATGTTGATGGCCCATGAACAGAGTCCGGCGGCAGCCAGTGATTTGCTTTGCA